TCATTCCTTCCTTGACAGCAGAGGAAGGATGTGTAAATGTGCATCTGAAAATAAACCAAGTGTACTCTTATCCTCACATGGACATAGTTGTCCTAAAAGTTATGTCTCTTCATCTGCACAAGAAGAATTAAGAAAAAAAAGGGAGGGGGAGGGGGAGAAAAAGCCACCCTCCTATACATGCTTCAATCTCCACAATGAAAGGTTGATTTACAATGTTTAGTGCATTTTGTATGGATAGAGGTGTAGCTAGAAGAAAGGGAACTGATGAAATAGTCAAAGGTAGCCAGCTCAGCAAGTATAGTAAAAATTCCTCTAAGGAAATATAAGCAAGTTGAAACAACCTGTGAAACTTTAGTGGCTGTCTTAAGTTGGGAGGGAGGTGGTGGAGAGTTTAAGATGTCCAGAAAAGGGTAGAGACACCAGCCAGTAAAATACCAATATATGAAAAGATATGGAACAAGCTGGTAAGTAATCCATTAGTAACTACCTAAGAGATACTGAGTTAGTAAGAAAATATCCAAAAGAGAACTCAACTGGAGTGTTCTGCCTGTTTTGCATCTTTATAGAAAGAAACTGAAAAAACAAATTCATCAAGACAAATGTCATTGAAAGAATTTGCACTAATATGGTATAGAAAACATAGCATGGGAAGGAACATTGTTGAAAACTCCTGCAAAGCAGATTGACCACATTCTTTATTTCCTGAGGAACAGGGCATGGAAAGATATGTATTTACAACAAAATAAGTGAGATGGGGTGTTTATGCATTTAAGCTAAAAAGGCAGCAAAGCAATGGAACATGTTACTTGCAAAAATAATATGAAAAAGACTTTAAAAATTTTTTTAAATATGTAATTATTTCTATGAAGTACTGAAGGCTATAGAGTTCTAGAGTGTGCAAGAGCCTTAGCAAATCTTATTTCCTAACTCTTTTCTTTCAAGAGCAGAACCTGGAATGACCCATGGTTTAGTAAGAGTCATGAGTTGATAATTCATTTAGCTATTTAAGTTAGTTGTAATTTACTTATAGAAGTTTCTGATTGCCGAGGATGTCCAGAAGACTGCAAGTTTAAAATTGTTTAGATTACAAACTCCAAAATCCATAACAGCAGCTCAAAAGCATATTTTGTTGTATCAGTTTTTATTAATGATCAGTTAATTGTTTTAAGCATGCGGTGTTATGGAGGATGGGGAATGGCATTAGTCTGCATACCATTTCCTAACAAGTGCCTACATCTCAGAAAAGGGAGGGGAGAAAAAGTGAAGAGGAAGACTGTGTAATTGTAGCACTGAGAATATTGCTGTGATTTTAAATGGTGAACTAATCTCTAGTCATGAACAAGTGTAATTACAGTGTCCTGTTTTTTCTAAATAGACAATTATATCAGAGCCTGTTCTGTTTCCTGCTGGTATACAGATTTTGAGATTGCAATAGAAGTTAATGACAATAGCATCACAAAAGGTTGTCTTTCCAGTTACTCCTTAATATCTTTTCCAGTTCCTAGGCCTTTTGAATTGCTCAGGAATGCTTAGGATTTATTATATGGTAGAATAGAAAAATTGTCTTGGTTGACTTTTATTCCACAATAATTCTTATTTCTTTACTGCTTGGCCTTCAAGTTCTAGTGGATTTCTTTTCTGCAATAAAAATAAATGGGTTTCTTTTTTGTGTGTGCATCTGTGAAGGTTTTTTTCCTCCTCACATTGTATTAGTAAATTCTTTTGCAGTCCGTTTTTTGCTATTTTTTGTGATACAGCAAACCAGTTTATTTCTCTGTACAAAATTATTTACCTGGAAATTTCTCTTTTCATTTATGAAGTCAAACTGTTTCTTTTGAAATAAAAAAGGAGAAAGACTGTAAAGGTTTGAATTTTTCAAAATTTTTATTTTCTTGTTCCCAAGAAGATCATCTCAGACAGGTCGTGTAAACTCTTACATTTTTCTCAAGAGAAGAACTAACATTTCAGCAAAAAATCCCTCTCCCAAAACAACCCTAACAAAAAAAAATCAACTTCATATTCTTGTAATTGAGAGCAATTAGGTAGATGTATGGAAAAAAAGTCTTTGTCTATACACATACACAGAAAGGTCCTTGAATGTTTGGTTGGTGTCAACATGTGCTTTTTAGAAGAACAGCTGGCTTTTCTGAACTCAGATGGTTGCAAACACTAAGATGATGCTCTCAGCAATTAAAAAGGTAGCCAGGGAAAAAGAAAGGTTTGTAGTTACAGGTTCTCATCTTTCAAAGCATGGGGAACAGATCTTGTTTCTCTGTGTAAGTCGTTAGCCCTCTGAAAGGGTTGCAAAGACCCCTTGAAACGATGTATGCAGGCTGATTCCGATGTATGCAGGCTGATTCCGGCATTGCACAGAGCTCCATAAAAACAGCATCGCTACACATTTGGGCACCTGATCCTGCTACCTTGTGCAGTGAGGGTTGGAGGACAGTTACATATGTACAGCAATCAGCACAACAGCCTGGATGAAAGCAGAGGAGAATACCTCCTGATAGGAATTAGCAGACCCCTTGAAGCATAAAGTACAATGCAACTTTCCTGCGTGGACTGTAGTTCTAATTTTCAAGATTTTGTAGAGTATATAAGGAGGAGATTGACAGTATAAATTCATCTTTGTATCCTCTGCCCTGTTTTCTGATAGAATAGTAATGTTCTTGCAGTCTTTAGTGCTTGGGATGCTTTTGACAGTGTAATTTCTGGATTAGAAAGCCAAAAACCAGAAGTAATTTGTGGTCTATAGAAAAGTATGTGTTACTTCCCCATTCCCCCCTCCCTTCCCTCCTTTGACGGAGGTGAGCTCCACTGGGTTACAGTGGAATTGCAAGTCTACATCAATATAGAAAGAATAAATTTCTCTTACAAAAATCGGTGCCTTTGTCAGGAAGCAGCAAGAGCAGGGCTGCCTTACAGGCAGCTGACAGGATGGGAAGGGCACAGTCCTTTTTGGCAGAGCCCAGTCCCTTTGTTGCAGAGCAGGGCAAAGGTGCTGGCAGTAACAGTTTGAATTGACTCTCCAGAGGTCAATCACCAGACCAATGCCATGGGTCTGTAGCAATCCAGGAAGCCCAGGCAGTGAGTCAGTATCAGCAGGGAACAGAGCCTGCCTGTCTGCAGCGCTGCACAGGGGAGGACTGGGAGCTTGGGTTTAAACTGGGCTTTCAGTGTTACTGGGATGAATAACACAGTGGTGTTTTCTTTTTGTCCTGGAATGGACATGGAAAATGGGCAGATTTTTGCAAATGCTTAGAGCATCAAACATACCATGGGTTGCTCTGTTTCTTAATAAATATTTAGCAATACATTGCAGTTAATTTATGTGGTAATTAAAATAACATATTTAGAACTATCATGCCTGGTTTGGGTATTGACACACTCAGAGAATTTTTCATTATAATATAGGTTGTAATGTACCTCTAGAGGTAATCTGTTCTGATTTCTACTAAAAGCAGGCCTTCTAGAGTGAGTGCTCATGGCCTTGCTCACTTGAGTTCCTAGCCTCTCTGTACCCCTGTGTCCTCACGGTAGAAAAGGTTCTACCTTTAACTGAGATTTTCTGTGTTAAACTGCTCAGCTACTTCTTGCCCTATATTTAAAGCTCTAATTTTAATTGTAACATTTTTGCAGTTGTTGGCTTTCAAGTATCCATTTTTAAAACTGTATGCAAACTTGATATATTTGTGAATATAAGGGACTGCATCACAGAATGCAGGTCAGGATAGTGTCAAAAGGTGCCCTAAAAGTTCTTGTAACCGACTTTACCAGTGTGTCTTAGGTGTGAACTGTGACGCTGTTTGCTATTGGAGTCCTGGATTTCTTTTTCTTGAGAAAAATCTGCCAGCAGTAAAGGCAAAAAATATAGTGGTACTATACTGTGGTCAAAGACCAAGTCAAAGAGATATGTAAAGCTTAAAAGATAAAAATAATCTTTGAAGCAGAACATCAAAAATATAAATTCCTCTTTGCACTAATCTTTCTTCATACTGTGATTGTAACTACCCTGTTTAATACTCACTGTCTCTCTATTCCCCACCCTGCCCCCCTTATTCTGCAAATGAGTCCCTGCTTCTGGAGGTCAGACTTTTTGTCTCTGGGATCATGCCCTTGTATTTTCTAATAGTAAACAAGCTATTTTAGGATAGTTTGTGCTAGCCACATCTTCTAAACTGATTAGTGTCTAGTGGTTCTAGCAAAAACTGGGGGATGAATAGATTGAGAGCAGCCCTGCTGAGAAGGACTTGGGGATGCTGGTGGATGAGAGGCTGGACATGAGCCAGCAATGTGCACTCACAACCCAGAAAGCCAATTGTATCTGGGCTGCATCAAAAGCAGCATGGCCAGCAGGGCGAGGGAGGGCATCTTGTCCCTCTACTCCGCTCTGGTGAGACCCCATCCAGAGTGCTGCATCCAGCTCTGGGGTCCCCAGCAAAGGAAAGACATGGACCTGTTGGAGAGAGTCCAGAAGAGGCCACCAAGATGCTTAGAGGGATGGAGCACCTCTCCTGCGAGGGAAGGCTAAGAGCACTGAGTTTGTTCAGTCCAGAAAAGAGAAGGCTCGGGGGTGACGTAATTGTGGCCTTCCAGTACCGTAAGGGAGCCTACAAGAAAGATTGAGAGGGACTTTTTACCTGGGTAAGTAGTGAGAGGACAAGGAGGAATGGCTTCAAACTGAGAGTAGGTTTAGATTAGATGTTAGGAAGAAATTGTTTCCTGTGAGGGTGGTGAGGCACTGGAACTGGTTTCCCAGAGAAGCTGTGGTTGCCCTATCTCTGGAAAGTGTTTAGGACCAGGCTGGATGGAGCTCTGAGCAGCCTGATCCAGTGGGAGGTGTCCTTGCCCACAGCAGGGAGCTTGGAACTAGACATTTAAGGTTCCTTCAAACCTAGGCCATTCTATGATTCAGTGAAACTGACAGCTGTGCAAGCTTGTATGTGTAGTACTCAACTTGGAGTAACTAACAGAGATTGTTCTCTTCCTCTTACCAGATGTGTGCAATAGTACCAACCTTCCTGAAGTTGAAATCATCAGTCTACTGGAAGAACAGCTGCCTCATTATAAGCTAAGAGCAGATACAATCTATGGTTATGACCACGACGACTGGCTTCACACACCTCTCATTTCCCCTGATGCGAATATTGACTTAACAACTGAGCAAATAGAAGAGACCTTGAAATACTTCCGTAAGTCAAAAATTCAGAAACTGTACAGAGAAACAAATAAAATAGTGCTATTTTTGTTACCTTCTTTCAAGTATCTATACAATTCCTTTAAAGTTGTGAAAAGTAAGAGAACTGTTTGTGGTTTACAGCTTTGGTCTCCAAGATTGAGGTAGACAGAAACAAAGGAAATATTTAATTAAGAACAGTGCATACCTTTTCACATTATCAAATACTGGTGAAACTGAAATACTGAAATACTTCTTTTTGCTTGTGGTCTCTCTCACAAGAGACTGGAATTTCTGTATCTATGCAACTGAGAAAGCTTAAACCTCTTCCCATATCTGCTTTTGAATGCATTCTCTGACACATTGCACTGTTGTCTGGTGGCACTGTGTGCCAGCACCACAGCATGACATTAAATAATTTTTCTGCAGCTTAAGCTTCTAGAAAAGACTTGTGAAGAACCAGACTCTGAGCATTTGGTTGAGATAGTTTGTCCCTTCATTGTTTCTTTTGTTCATATTCGTGCTATTGGACAAAAAGATATATTTGTGCCTGAAGGGAAAGTGTGTAGAATTGTGACCTTCATGGGTTTTTATTCTTTTGTTTGAGCCTGGAGATACTTTTATCATGGTGAAAGGATTTGTATCTCTCTGGGTTCTTCTACTGTGAGTATTGACATAGCTGTGCAATTAGAGAAAACTTCTGTGATTCATCCCAATAACTACTATGCTAAAGTAATAGTAGTGGATTTCTGTGGATTATATAGTAGATTTATGTAGACTTACACGACACTGTAGAGTTTCAGGAGGGATGAGTTAGAGGGCTTAACACAAACCTTCGCAAAGACGGTTTCATTAGATTTTGAAGCACCTTAGATGATTTGTTTTGTAAGGAGCAAGGTTGTAGAGAAAAGCATGAAGAATATGAAGAACTGAGTGTGACTTTCATGCTTCAGTAGAGGGCATTCTACTATTCTAGTAAATAACTTACCTATGCTCTCCACCTCCCCCCAGTCACACAAAAAAATGTGTGAAGGATGGGGAGACAAGCTGAAGCTGATCTATGGAATCAGATGTACTACACCACCTTGTTTTGTATCAGCCCATTAGTGCTGTTATAATGATGGCAGAAATTGGCTTAAATAAATGTTTTGAAATGTCAGGTTTCCAAAGTCTTTAGTAACCTGATTAGTCCTGTCTCATGAATAAAATCGTCTGTGTGGGTGGATTGTTGCAATAACCATGGGAAAGATGTTTTATTAGTGGGGCAAGGAACTCCAAAAATCTGTGTGGCAGCATCCTTACTCTGCCAACTGAGATGCTGGTGGGGCTTGCAATGGTGTGTGACTTGGGGATGGATACACGATACAAGTTGGGTGGAGAATATATTGAGGGCAGCCATGAGGAGAAATACTTGGGAGCGTTGGTTAACAGCTGAGTGTGATCCAGCAAGATGCGTTTGCAGCCAAGAAAGTCAACTATATCCTGGGCTGCATTGAAAGAAGCATGGTCAGCAGATCGAGGGAAGTGATTCTCCCCCTCTGCCCATCCTTGTGAGACCCCACTCTGGAGTATGTACCCAGCTCTGAGGTCCCCAATGTAAGAAGGATGTGGACTTGTTGGAGCAAATTCAGAGGAGAGATACAAGAATGATCAGGGGGCTGGAGCATCTCTGCTGTGAAGAGAGGCTGAGAGAGTTGGGAATGTTCAGCCTGGAGAAGGGAAGGTGTTGGGGAGACCTTAGATTACCTTTCAGTACCTAAAACAGGCTACAGAAAAGCCAGAGAGGGACCCTTGAGCAGGGCCTTTAGTGTTAGGACAAGGGGCAATAGGCTTAAACTGACAGAGTGTAGATTAGGATTAGTTACATGGAAGAAATTCTTTACTGTGAGGGTGGTGAAACACTGGAACAGGTTGCTCATAGAAGCTGTGGATGTCCCTCCCTAAAAGTGCTCAAGGCCAGCTTGGATGAGGTCAAGTTGAGCAACTTAATCTACTGGAAGGTTCCCTGCCTATGGACAGGTGGTTGGACCTAGTTGATCTTTAAGATCCCTTCCAACCCCAACCCTTCTTATGATTCTCTGAAAATGAAGCTATGTAGAACAGAGGAATTGGATAGCAGAAACTGCCTAGAACTGTGAGTACTTAAACAATTTAATCCAGCTTTTAGCTTATAAGCATAATGACTGCAACTTTACCATGTTGCTGTGGTTGTAGCTTTCATCCAGTCAACTGGCTTGAATGAAAAAAATTGGAGTGCAGTTTGTGCCACAGTGTATGTTACTGGGAAATAACTGCTTAAAGAAGAGGAGCAAAGCAAGGAGATCTTTGATAAAGAAAAGTTGATTCCTTACTGCTTATAGGCAGACACGTGTGTATAGATAGTAGTTTAAGAAGTTTAAGCAAATTTGGGTTGAACCTTAGACTGATATCCTAGAAACTGAGGTCTCTGACTTTACCTTTGTTCAGTTATTGTGCACTCTCTATACATGAGAGTGCAAGATCATAATACATCACAATCCATTGACATGTTTGGAGATTATTGTATTGTTTGTAAACATCAGTTTATGAAAAAATTAACTATGAAAAAAAAATAGTATTTTAAGTAAGTTGGCAGAAAAGCCCTGTGATTTGTACCATCATCACTTCTGAGAGTATTTTCCAGGGTGTGGCTGCTTACACAATGATTCATTTTCAGTGCTGCAATTAAGCCACTCCTCGGGTACCTGTTCAGTTTGTTTTAAAAACCTCGATGAGGGTGTGAGTAAATACTGTAACTTGTCTCTTGGAAAGTTTTATTTTTTGAATGACTTATGAAAAATATCCTTGCAGTTATTGGACTACACATTCAGATTGATGCTGGTTTATAAAATGTTCGTGGAAATGTGATGAGTTTCCCTCTGTGTTGATCCATACAGGGTAAGAGTCAACACTGACCCTTAGCTGTACTGCTTTGGCTTACTAGAGCAGATTTTTCTGCCTTCATATGGCTTTTTATTTTTGAGATCCTCAGTCCAATTCCCAACCACAAAAGTTGGTAGTCTCAGAATCTACTGGGCTGCGTCACTCACGAGGATGGACACAAGGTACTTAGACCTGCTTTTAAATTAATTTAAAAGATATTGGTAGAAAAATGAATAGTTAAATATCCAAGCATTTTAATTTATTCACAGCTTTTGGGGGGGAGTTAAGCTATAGCCCAGGGTAGGTGAATTAGTTTTTAAAATTTAATTCACAATTGGGAAAGAAGGCAACTGGGAGGAACTGAATAGTATTAGGCCTACAGCTGTTCTTCTACATTCTGGAACTCCAAAACACATCTTTGTTATTATTTCCTTCGTAGGCTTCAGACACATGACTGAGCCAGTCCCTACCAAATGAACAAAATAAAACTGATCTTACCCTAAAGCGTAATCACATAAATCAAATTTCATCTGACCAGTCTTATTAAACTCTTGAGGCAGAGTACCTTTTAAATCAGCCTAAAATGTGGTGCATGAATGTATGATACAGCAAAGTGATGTTCCATCTCCCTGCCCCCAGATTAGAGGAAGTCAAACACACTTCTAACTGGTGTCTAGGGAGAGGTCTGTGTAAGAGCCAGGCATAGAACACAGCTCTCTGAGCACCTTAGGCAGTGAACAGGCTACCAGAGACAGTGAACAGGCGCAGCAGTTTGCCCGAGAGTCTGAGTTTTTTTGTGGCAACCTGTGGGGATAGGGCCTATCTGGGAACTCCTGGGAAGTCTCTGTCGAACTGGGAGTGCCTGCTGTTGCCTGGTAAGGGCAAGGTAAGGGGAGACAGGGATGTGGGCCTGAGGAAGCTCTAGTGGCTTCTGAGTAGCTGTCAGGTACCCTTGACCAAAGGGTGCCCTGAGCTGCCTTTGGAGCTGCTGCTCACTAGGGATGGTTAACACCCAAGCTAGTGTTCTCTCAAGCTGGTGCTTGAGAGAACCCTCTGTAACAGCCAGGTCTGGAGCACAGCTCCCAGACACAGCCAACAGATGCAGCAGTTTGTGTGGGAGGGTGCAAAGAAGGGGTCCTCATCTGAGTTCAGAACAGCCTAAACCTTCAGATGTGGTTCCAATGTGCCATAGGATACATTCTCCAGGTTTTGGAGCGCCTTTACTTGCCAGGGCAGAGACTTTAACCCAGGCAGAACATCAGATAGGGGATTCAGCCTTGCAAGTCCCAGGCTGCAGGGAGTACCCAGAACCTCTCCCCGAGGTAGGGAGAGATGTCCTTCTTTTATGCAGGAATTGTGCTGCTGTTGAAGAGCTGTCACCAGGCGAAGGTCGGAGGAAGTCAACAGGCTGTAAAGCATGAGGGAGAGTGAGACACAGACAGATCTAGGAGGAATTGTCTGAAACACCAGAGGATTGTGCTCCCATTCACAGGGTCCTTGGCAGACTGGAGAGATGAGTCAAGAGCAGCCTTGTACAGTTCAGCAGAGGGAAGTGCAAAGTCCTGCAGCTGGGGAGGAACAACCCCAGCACATGCTGGTGTCCGACTGCTGGAATGCAGCCTTGCAGCAAAGAACCTGGAGCACCCTGGTGGACACAAAAGCAAACATGAGCCAACAATATGCCCTTGCCAAAAAGAAGGCTAATGGTATCCTAAGCTGTATTAGGAGGAGTATTGCCAGCAGTCTGAGGGAGTTGATCCTTCCCCTGTATTCAACATTGGTGAGGCCACACCCTGGAGTGTTTGGTCCGGTTCTGGGCTCCCTTATTCTGTATTCCTTCAGTGTAATGCATTCCTTTCCTCTCCCAGGAAGCTGCAATCATGACTCTCAGTGGGTTTTTTCCCTCCTTGTTAGAAAAATAGGTCATAACCATGCTGCTGTAGTATTTTTGTCTATCCAATCAAGCATGATATTAAGCTCAACTTCATTTTACAAATGTTTTTGCTGTCTCTAGGAAAAATATAACCAAAAAAATGGAGATTGTAATTTACATTATTTCCAGGTGATGAACAGTTTGCAAAATTTGATTCTTTAAAGCTTTATTTATTCTTAATT